GACTCATCATCTTTCTCATAAGTTTCAAGAGAGGGTTTTTCAATAACCTTACCACTGCGCAGAGTAGTGATTGATTTGACTTGATCCATATGTTGGCTTCCGGAACTACTTACATTTGCATTGTATTGCCCCTTGAGATGGAAACTTACCTTTCTCTTGGAAACTGAGAGCAGATGTTAATTTTGCAAGAGTATCTTTAAAATCTATCATGTTTTGAGCAAGTTGAGTATTGATTGTCTCTTGCTTTTCAATGAATGCATGCAATGTTTCCTCAAGATTTTTTCTAAGAGGTGGAGCATAAGGAGGTACATATCCATGAAAATTTTGGAAATTGTGGTGTGCTTGAAACGGTGGTTGTGAAGTTTGTGCATTGTTGTTCTCACTCTTCCAACTGAAATTTGGGTGATTTCTCCAACCAGGGTTGGATGTTTGGGAGTATGGGTTGTGGTTGGCCCTTTAGAAACTGTTTAAAGCTTGGACTTGTTCATGGAGACATTCCTTAAAAGAAGGCAAGGTTGGACAATCATTGGTTGAGTGTTCATTTGTTTCACATATTTGACACACAATGTTTTCAACAGATTTTAATTTACCACTCTTTTTCAATTCTAGTACCTCGACTTTTCTAGCTAAAGATGCAAACTTGGCTTGAAGGTCATGATCTTCCCTAAGGTTGTACATACCTCCACTAGATGTATGAGGTTGAGTTTTACTTGGTACCTCACAAGTACCCGCGGTGTCCCAATTTTGAGCATTTTCAGCTAACAAGTCTAAGTACTCTATTGCTTCATCAGGGTTTTTATCTTCAAAAGTTCCATTGCACATCAATTCAACCATTTTCCTATCTCTAGGTGTTAACCCTTCATAGAAATGTGAAACCAATCTCCATGTTTCAAAACCATGATGAGGGCAAGTACTAAGCAAGTTTCGATACCTATCCCAACATTGGTAAAATGTTTCTCCTGGTTTTTGAGTTAAAGTGATGATTTGTCTTTTGAAAGAGTTTGTTCTATGAGATGGGAAAAACTTCTTTAAAAACTGTTGTTGCATTTCATCCCAAGCACGAATGGATCCTGGTCTTAAATTTTGTAGCCATGTTTTAGCTTTATCTTTTAATGAAAAAGGAAAAAGCTTCAATCTGATGGTGTTCATGCTACAATTTAAGTTATTATATGTGTTGCAAACCTCCGCAAATTGCCTTAAATGCAAGTATGGATTTTCCAATTCTAAGCCATGAAAAGAAGGTAAAAGTTGAATAATACCTGGTTTAAAATTAAAATGAGATGCATCAGGAGGAAAAACTATGCATGATGGTGCACTTGTTCTTATGGGATTCATGTGGTCTCTAAGTGTTCTAGCACGATTATTCTCATTATTCTCATTATTCTCATTATGTACGTAACCACACTCTCATACATGTGTAGGAATAGAATAAAAGGAAAAAGAAAACAAAAGAAGAAGAAACAAGAGAAAAGAAACAAATTTATATACAAGAAAAGTGAAAAGAGAAAATAAAATAAATATTATAATTTATACAAAACTTACCTCCCCGGCAACGACGCCAAAAACTTGACACGACTAAAAGATTGATGTCTTCTCCCAAGTGTAGGAGTGTCGAAATAATAAATAACCCGGCAAGACCGGGGTCGAACCATAGGGAGGTTAATTACAAATTATAAATAACAATAATACAACAATAATAACAATAACAACAATAATAATAATAGTAATAATAATAATAACAATAACAATAATAATAATAGTAGTACTAGTAGTAATACTAATAATAATAATAATAATAATGATAATAAAAAAAAGAAGGAGAAGAAGAAGAAAAGGATGAGAACTTTGAGATGGAAAGATTAACGTAAGGATTAAATAATGATAATAACAAATGTCAAGGTTAGAGGTTCCACTAATGGTATGTCAAACAAGTATAGTATAAACTCTTATTATTCAATTGGAAACCACACACAAGGGAGGTTTCAATCAGATTATAAATTGTTAACATAATTATATTAGTCATCTTATTCAATTAATGCTAATACTTGTAAATCTCGTCACGCATTCATGATTATAACTTATGTTAACAACAAATCAAGTTCCTTTCATAGCTCAGTTGTCGGTTATACCATATAATATGAAGTTTCTTTCATAGCTCAGGTGTCGGTTATACCATACATTATGGGCTATGAAAGTGCCAAGCATTTGTTGTACCAAGTGTTATACAACATAAATCAAGATTAGTCATTTAACAAGCAAAGTATTAAAGAGTGAACAAGATAACAAATATAAAACATGTTAGTATCAAACATTAAAGTCCATATTAAGTTTACATTATACTTATTCTTACACCATTAGTGTAACCTTTTCACCTTGACATAACTAACTTAGCTAGACATAATGAAAGAAAGCAAAATAGATAAACAAAATAAGAACATAAATAAGATAAAAGTTAACTAAGTAAATGAAAGGAAATGAAAGGCATAAACTTGATATTAATGAAAGCAAAGCATAAACATTACAAAAAATACAAAGAGAGAAAGGAAGAGCATGTTCTTAATCTGGAAACCAAGATGCCTAAATGCATGGCAAATGACTTCTTTTATAGGCCAAAATTGGGAACTATTGATTTGATGACTAATTGATGAGTGGGTAGTCAACTCTTGACTTGGTGACAATCCTTATCTTCTCTTGTCTGCCCAAAACATCATTGATAACGTCAAAATTGGAGCCACTTGAAAACATGAAACTTGTAGGCAATTGTCTCAGATTTCTTGTGTAAAAAATTCAGCTCATTTGGACTTCTAGAACTCCAGATATGGCCAAAATAGTGAACAGTGTTCGGGCTGGAGAACAGCTTCGGGCTTCTTTGTTGTTGTAATAATTTGGACTTGAAAATGACATTTTTAGATCTTGGGCTCCATATGAAAATTGTAGGCCTATGTCTTACCTTTCCATCCATATAAAGTAGACCTAAATCTGAGATCTATAGCTCCAGATATGACCCAATTACCGAACAGTGTTCTGGTTTGGATTGCACCGACATCTCTTTTCTAATTTTGGTCATCTCTTTGGCCTTGCAATTTAAGTTCTTAAAGTCATCAATCAATCCTTTCATTTATGTGATAGGCCTGCATTTAAAATGAATATTTACCACAAATTAAAGGTATCTTATATTATTAGATATATTATTATAAAACATGCTTTAGTTAAAGAGTTATTGATACTTCAAGTGCAAAATGATGATATAAAACCATGATAAAAATGCACTTTTAAGTACTAATCACTAAGATGTTTCATTTGCTAGTTTACTAAGAGCCATTGAATAAAAGGTTTAATTAAAGAAAGAATCAATCAAGTGTTGTGACAAGACCTTAAAGCAACTTTTTTGTTTTGGAGTTATTGATGTATATGTGTGATGGGGTTGGAATGGTTTATGTTAGGACTTGGGGTGGCCTACATTATACAGATCCCTTACACTGTTGATTTGGGTTGTTTCATGCATGTTAGAAAGTTGGAATAATGGTTTAGCATGGACAAGTTAACTTGCGATAAGGATCGATCTATCATAGAGAGAGATGAAACATGATTATTATTTCTTCAAACATAAATTTGTCTTATTATAAAGATCAAGAAAAGCTCATTGCAAAGTGAGCAAGACTGTGATTCACTTATCTAAGTAGAGGTTGACGCTTAAACAAAAGAATTTAATTAGGAAAATGCCTTTTGATAAACCTAAAAATCTCTTGAGAATAGTCTTTTCTTGGGCTCATCCAAGGAATGGACACTCCTTTCTTGGATATGTCTATGAGAATGAGCATTTTGTTTTTAACATGTTTAAGAAAATGGCATCTTTTCCATTTAACACACTAAAAGGACGAGCCCAACCTCCTTTAAACACGTTGAAGTATGGACCCAGCCTCCTTTTGACTTAGTCAAGGAAAATAACCACCTCTCTTGATCTAGTCTAGGAAAAAAGCGCGGCATTCATGAGCTCAGCTACATTTAACATCTTAGACCATAATCTCTCTATACCTTTTAAGAGTACAAAAATCATCAAATGACCCATCATATTTCCATCAAACATTAATATAGATATAAGAAGTATTTATCCTCCATTAAATGTTATCAAAGTAAATTTACATTCCAAACCTTCCTCTTAACAAAAAAACAAGACTCTTGAACTATAAATATAAAACCTTTGGAATAAAGGTTTACAATTTTCATTACCCCTCATTAAGTGTTATCAAGGTTAAATTAGACTTCAAACCCTCCTCTTAACAAAAAAACAAAACATGGATTATAAATATACTATAAGATTTTCATAACAAAGATTGATTCACAATCATTATTCTCTCCTACATATATATTTTTTAAACATCTCCCTAAAATATTATTATATTTTTTATCTTTAAAAAATATATTTATTTAAGCATTATAGAGCCCTCATCACCACCAAAATAGATATTAGTCACAAGATACCAAAATAGATATTATAGAGCCCTCATCACCACCAACATAGATATTAGTCACGAGATACCAAAATAGATATTAGTCACGAGACACCATGACACCATAGTCCGCCAAATATCAAATATAAGTTATGGTCTGCCAAATATCAAATATAAGTTATCAATTATCTTAATTGTAAGTATGGATGAAATTCTTAGGACTAATTTGATTATTTAATTTGAATCTATTAATAGTTTACTTTGAATTTTTTTTGGACTCCCTGACCCTTGAAAAAGTCCAAAATGGTATATGACCCTTGAAAAAGTCCAAAATGATATATATAAATTCAGCACTAGAAGTTTGCCCCAGATATTTGGAGGGATCAGCAGAGTAGGACATGGTGCGAGGTGCAAGCTCTCAAACAATTCTGCCCGGATCATCATTATCCTAGTTGTTGCTGCAAGAGTTTATGACCTCTCCTGTACATCTTGGTCTTGTATTCTTGTTGACATTTGAAAAAAGAAAATAGTTCACGTAATTTCTAATGTAAAGTCAATAAGAAGTTCAGGATTCCTCTGACATTGAACATTTTTTATGAAACGTGCTTTATCTAATCTTTCGTGGTAGTAACTCGAGTTAATCAGACAAATAAAATAGGATATTGGAGGCTAGTCACGAGAAGAAAATAGATAAAGCACGAACCTGCTGACTCGAAGATAAAAACCTCTAATCTTGTCCATGCATCACTTCCTTCATTAAGACTTTCTCATGATTTGAGAACATGTACTTCTTTAAGCATGGTACTTTTCAAATGTTTTTACTGTTTCCTCTCTCTCTCCCCCTTGAGGGACCGAGCATTTATTAAGGAGACTTTCATTCCCTTGAAAGTCCACTTTCGTTCATACTTCTTTTCACAAGCTGATTTGCAGTCTTGATTTTCGAATTGGCTTTCAATGGTTTTTGGGTTTTGCAGCATTTCGTAGACAACTGTTTGCCGTGCTTTCAGGCTCCCGCTTGTCGAGCTTTGAGCATGAGAGCTCCTAACTTGATCGTTTCCAAGTCCCGGAGCAATCTTTCGAGATGGTAACTAAGATAATCTAAGCAATGCAGGATGATGGCCTCGGTTGCTGCTGTTACTGACAAAAGGCTTTTGGAGCCATCAACCGTGAATTGGTGATGTTTAGCTGAGAGTTCAAGGAAAACAGAAAAATGAACTTCGTAATATAGAAACATTTTGATATGTTTGTAGTCTCGGTTGAAGACACATGCAAATTGATACAAGAGCTACAAAAATATCCAAAATGGCAAATATACAAGACTGATTGGTCACTTATAGACACGAATAAACTGCTCAAGAATCAGAGTATTCTACAACTTCAATCACCTTAGTTGAAACCATATTTGACTCTGCTTTAGATTGCAGATGCCTCCACAAGCACCCAATTCCTAAAATTTTGAACATTCGATACAAAAGCTACAAAAACAGCCTAAAATACATAAACCATGGGCAAAGAAAGCAGATCCTCTCACGGATTCTCGCCATTTTTGTCTCTATTTTTATGTTAGAAACTTGTCGAAGCCATGAAAAACCTATTTTGTAGAAGCCAGGTTGTGGTTCATGGAATCACTTCCATGAGCATTGCATGAGAGAAATTACAATACCTCTACATATTCATTGATGTTCACTTCAATGTTTCAGCTTCTGAAATAAAATTGAGGTTAATGTAGAGGCAGACCGACCTGACCTTGCATGCAAATAAAAAGCTTTGAAAATCAATAGTATGACGAAGTAGTGCAAAGAATTTCCTCAGACATGCCAATCAATTACATTGTCACAACTAAGGAAAAATATTACAAATCCCATTACAGGGAAATGAGTAAGAAATGAAACACACCATCATAGTTGGATCATTTTTCTTCATCCTCGGAATCCGACTTCGCAAAAACTGGGTCAGGCTGGGTTTGCGCATATGCTGGAGCAATGTATTTGGGATCTTTTTCTGCAGCATCAGCATACTTCAATATAGCTTCTCGTGGGTCTTCCTCCATCCATGTCTCCTTGATCATTCCCCCTTGCTGTAATGAAATCCAAATGTCAGTTTTTCCCACTGGCTTCATTAAGAATTAAATAACAATGTGAAAATGGCTAGACGGGAAACATGACCTTAAGAAGATATTGAGTCAATAAGCTTCCTTTACTAGCACCAACTCTTCCACCAAAACCTGGTCCTGTCATTGGAAGTTCAGGTTTGTGGGACTTAAGGGGATCCTTCAATGTTTTCTCTCGCTGACGCTTTCGGCTTGGCTGATCTCTAAACAAGGGTAGTGCGTGAGGGTTGTGAATGACGGGCTGCACCTCAAAATCATCCAAAGATTTTTTCCGAGGTGCAGATGCAACACATACAAGAGCTCCTCTCTCACTGAGGGTTGGATCATATAGTACGTGGGTTCCTCCTTGGCTTTTATCTCCAGCTGTTGCAAAGATCTTTAAACAAACAAAGTAGGCAAGGCTTCAGTTTGTATTGATGGGCATGTGTATTAAAAAAAGTGCTACTGAGGGGTATGTGTTTTGCTTAAAATATTTTACTAGATTTTCCTGTGTTTGTTATAAACTTTGTTCATTTGTTGAAAAATATTTGAAGTTCATAAAGTTCTGTACGCACATCAATCAATTCACAATTGTCCAACTATTTCACCACACCTATACTACCACCACTTTTTTTGTCGTCACTTTCTACACTACTACCTCATCACCACCATCCTCTTTTCACAATTCCATTACCACCATATTTTTCATTTCATTGCTACCAAACATCATAAAATCTTTTCCATGTAAAATGTTTAACCAGAATACCATTTGTAAAATATTTTAAACAAAACAAATGCTCCTTGGTTGAGGAAAACTAATGTATCCTTCATTTGCACAAGAATAAATAAATAAACATACAGGCAATGTCTTGGTGCATCCAAGACCACCTTTATAGTGACAATAAGAATAAAGCAGCATATATCATATCCTGGTTCATCCAAAAGATCACCTATATTGACAATAAGAATAAAGCAGCATATATCATTTGGTGTTACCTGATTTAGCTTTGGATGCCAAGCACATTGCACAACACTGCTAGTTAGAGAAATACCAACTCTTGAAACAAGTTCAAGTTTTGCCCGGTTGTAAAAGCACAATACACCTCCAGTTTTGCTCTCCCTTTCAAAAGATGTTCCAGTCAAGAATAGCTGCTCATCAGGACTAAATGCAATATTTGTTTGAGCATAGTTATTTGGAAGATTCTCAAAGACTTTAAGGGCCTCTTTCATTTGCCGCAAATCCCAAACCTAACACAAGAAGGGTGTGATAAGTATCAAGAATAAACATATATTAGTGAAGAAAGTGAAAACAAAATACTCTCTAAATGAATGTTTCATCACTACCTTCAGTGAACAATCAGAGCTTCTTGAGAGTAAAATTTGTCCATCACTTGAAAATTTGAGGCAAGTGATGTCATCTGAATGACCCTTCTCAACAAAAACATCTGGCCTACTTCCCCATCCAGGCTTAAGGCTCCATATCTGTGAATACAAATTAAGCAACATGTGTGTCAAGAAAAATGAAATAACTGAAGTGAAAGAGGGTTCAATGAAAAGAAGAAGACAACAACCACAATTCAGAAAGATAAACCTGTATAGAACCATCTCCAATGCCACCAGCAACACGTTTTCCTTCACGATCCCAAGCACATGTGGTAACTGGAACTCTTCCAGGCCGAGCAAGCTTTGGTTTAATGACCTAGTTAAAATGAACAACTGCAATGTTAGTTTACCTTCTTTCATATATTTCCTAGTTGAATGAGAATAACACTTTTAAATATATCACAATTAATGTAACCCATAAGCACACATGGAAACAGAAACATTATAACCCTCCATTGCACATGCAAAAATGCATCCTAGGAGCCACTAAAACAGCTTCATTGACTGCCAAATGAAGTACAACCAAGTTCCCCAAAACAGAATGGTTGTATAGAACTCATCATAATTTCAAGTAGCAGAATTGAGCAACTTGAAAAAACAGCAAACCTGCTTTTGACTTTTGAAATCATTCACATCCCATATACGTAGTGAACCGTCCTCTGATGATGTTAGAATTGTCTCCTTGGCTTGAGGATGCCACTCCCCGCAAGTCAGTCCAGAAATGTGACCTTTTGTATTCTTCAAGTCACGAATATACATATCCCCCTTGACAAACTCACCTAGTGTAAGCCCATCACGGTCAAATATCTGAGACACAAACAAAAACAAACGAGAGTTCCACAATCCTTGCCGTGGTTCCGATCAAATGTTAATAACCGAAGATACCCACATGAAGAAATAAATAATAATACCTTAGCTTGAGCAGAACCAGTGACGCATAAAAACCGGTCTGCGGAAGGACTCCAGCTCAAATTACGAACTTGATGGCCTTCAAATGGTTCGAGCTGCCTAAATGATTGTAAACGCGAATTCATCCCTTGAAAATCGTACATTCTAACTGTATAGTCGTAACTACCAGAAAGAACTCTAGACCCAGTATGATCTACAGCAAGAGCTGAAACAACCTGACAGACAAACAGTCACTCAAATTAAGATCCCGAGAGCAAAATTTCACCATTTTTTTTATCAAAACATAACTAGAGTTACCTTAGAGTGGCCTCCAAGTACAATCTCATTACTCGTTGGAATCCGATACAGAAAATCCTCCTCATCCGAATCCGCTGGTTCCGGCGGACGAAGTGGTCCGATCATCACACCATCCTCCTCCTCATCATTAGCAGCAGCCAGTCCCGGCGGAGGCCGCGGAGGCCCCACCATAACTTCCCCATCATCGTCGTCGTCTACACCCCGAGCTTGTGGTCGAGGAGGTCCAATCGAAACATGGGCAACGAATGAATTGGAACCAGTAGGCCGCGGTGGTGGCGGTCCAAGTGAAGGGGTGGGGTTGGAGGAGGATTTAGGTGTGGGACGGAGAGAATCGAGCCAGGCTTTAGAAGAAGAGGAAAGAGAGGATTGGGTTTCGGCGTTGGCGGCGGAGGTGGGTGGTGCTTTTCGGATAGTGGTGTTATGGATTTGTTCGAGAGGTGTTTGAGATTTTGATTGTTTGCCGAATGTTAGAGGGAACTGTGCTCTAACTCCGTCGTATATTTCTGCTTCCTCCTCTTCCATCTCTTTTCTTTAATCCTATAGTCGTGGTTTTTCCGGAGATTTCTTATTTCCGCTTTCGTGGATGATTTATAGGGTTTGGTTAGACGCAGGATGTCGTGCCGGTGGCGATATACACGCATATATAGGGGACGCACACAGATACAATATATAACCTAATATAGAGGTTTATCATTTTTAATTCATCTTAATTTTTATTTATAAAAATCAACTGAATTAAAATTTTATAAAAATTAAAAGTAATTTTAACCGATCAAGTTTGTAGGTTTAATTTTGATATAGTTAAATTAATTTAATATTAAAAATTAAAAATTTTATTGTCTTACAGTTTTTTTTAATAACTTTTTTTTAGTTTGATTTATTTATTAATTAAACTAGTTTGATTTAATTTTTTAATTTCAAATTTATAAAATCAAAATAAAATATAATTAAATTTTTTCTAAAATAATCTAATTGATTTAATTAGTTTTTTTATGGTTTGATTTTTTTTGTTTTCTTAATTTTTCAGGTTTTTTACTCACTATAACCCTAACCCCATTTATTAAATATGTTCATTAATATGGTGTAAAATATTATTTTTAAATGATTTTTAAATAAAAATATATTAAAATAATATTTTTAAAAATTTTTATTTTTCAAATCAACGTATCAAAATAATTAAAAAAAAAAGCTAATAAGCACAAATTTAATGTTTTTTAAGTGAAAAACAATTTAAAAAATTTAAAAAGTAGATATAGCATAAAAATAAACACTTATTTTTAGTAATGTGGGTTCCTGAATTGAAAATGTATTAAAATAAGTTTTTTAAAATTATTTTAATTTTAATACCAATATATTAAAATAATAAAAAATATTAATTTATTATTAAAAAAACACTTTAAAAGTATTTTGAAACCAATCCTCTACCTATCATGACTTCAGATACTATAATCAGAAAAACATTAATTTCTTTATGTAAGGTCAATTTATGTGGTTTAAGAACTTTATATATTGTCTTAGTGTTTCTTTTAGTTATGTGTAAAAGTTAAATCATTTACTTTTCATTTTTCATTTTTTTTACATGAAGTTTTTTAATGAGATTATAAAAAAATTAGACTTTTATATATATATATATATATATAAGTCTAATTTTGGAAATCAGTGGTTAGGATCACCTAGCCATGATAAAGCACCCAACTTTAATTTTGATAATTAATGGTTGGCATAGTCTTTCTATGAAAGAGCATATCTTCTCTCTCATCGATTATTAGTGATAAACCCTAGAAGTGCAAGAGCTATCCCTATATCTTAGAAGCAGATGTAGATGTAGATGTAGATTGATGATAAGAGACTGTATCTATATCAAAAACATTATATTTTCTTAGGTTTTAACGTATTGTGTGTGTGTGTGTGTGTTGTGCTAGTGTATATATCATTATTATAATCCTGATTTTGTCTATCCAAGATATTAATAAATATATTTTTAATATTATTTTATATTTAATTAACAAAACTAGAATAAAAATAAAGTTCTCAGAACAAAAATTACTATTATAAGTAAAGTAAAGTATGAGAAATACCTAAAATTAATATATAGATGATTTTTAGAAATCACATGCAAAAATAAATACTCGTATTTAGTAATATGATGTAAAGTATTTTTTAATTAAAAATATATTAAAATAATTTTTTTATTTTAACATTAATACATCAAAATAATAATAAAAACATTAATTTAATATTTTTTCAAACATTAATTGACCTAAGAATTAGTAATTGATAAAATATTATTAAATTGTCTATTAGAGTGTCAAATTAGTAATGCAAAATTATAAATTTGGGTAAATTTTTAATACCAAAACACCACACTGAATCCAATTCAATATTTTCTCATACAAGTTGAACAAATTTCTCAGGTTTCATACTTATATTTTTCAAATATATAAGACAACATGTCATCATCTATTTAATCAAGAATTCTACTTTTTTTCATCTAGGTGGTGGCCAAGTGATAAAGACTTAGGATCAAGGGGTTTGCTCCCTCTGTGGTCTCAGGTTCGAGTCCTTGGTTGCTCATATGATGGCCACTGGAGGCTTACATGGTCGTTAACTTCAGGGCCCGTGGGATTAGTCGTGGTGCGCGCAAGCTAGCCCGGACACCCACGTTAATCTAAAAAAAAAAAAGAATTCTACTTCTTTTCCAATTCCTAAGGCTTCCACGTTAAACCCTAAGCATTCACAATCATAAAATCACACAAAATTTTACAGTTCTATTCCCCCCAGACACATGCAATATGCATAGAACCCACAACTCTACACCATCAATTTTCATTAGTAAGACCTTTACGTAAATGTAACATTCCAAATCACACAATTTAAACAAGGTTTCGATCATCCCTAGCGTCCATGGATAGGCAAGGTAGACAAATCTACCTATTGGCTCATTTCAAATTTCTCTTGCTTTATCCTGCTTCTATCACCTCTCATGCTAGTTTAAATAATTCTCCCCTCAAAACCATATTTTCTCTGAATTTTCAAAACTAATGAATTTTTCTATTCATAGCAAAACCCCATGATTACCTAAAATTCATTACTTTGCCCAGTAAACATGCCATTACATCACACATGAACAAAGAGTCATCCAATTTAGCATGTTCAAAAACCAAAGATAAACCCTAACAGATTCAAATTTGAGGTTTTTCATTTCCTTCTACAATCTCCATAATCGCCATATTCCCCCTCTTGGTTTTCCAATCTTCCAACTCTTCTTTCTCGATAATTTCTCCTCAAGAATCCTCACTTCATAATCCAACCAAACTCTCCCCAGATAATAGAGAAAAGAACAGGAAGAATGAAGAAAAATGAGAACCTCCGCTTCCTCGAGCTGCTGGAAAACCGTCGGCTAGCCTTACAAAAAGGAACGGGCCAACCATCTAGGTGGTGGTCAAGTGGTAAGGATTTGGGATCAAGGGGTTTGCTCCCTTTGTGGTCTCAGATTCGAGTCCTTGGTTGCTCATATGATAGCTACTGGAGGCTTACATGGTCGTTAACTTCAGGACCCGTGGGATTAGTCGTGGAGTGCGCAAGCTGGCCTGGACATCCACGTTAATCTAAAAAAAAAAAAAGGAACAGGCCGATTGCTTGTAATTACAAAAATGCCACCCATTAATTAATTATTTATGTGCTGTCCCTGTCAAATCCATGTCCGTAGAAATTTTTTATATTTCATGCGGGTTTCCTACTGAAAATTTACATCACCATTCCTTATAAAATTTCTCTAAATTTTATTATTATTTATTTAAAATCCCGCCATTAAAAACGAGTTTACCCTGACTGTTGATATTCGTGTGCACATATTTGTTCTTTAAATTATTCTAAAATTACTATTTTCAATTGAAAATTATCTTATTTAATTCTAGTTTACTAATTTTTAGATTTTAGAATGGAGGTTTACACGTATAAAATTCAGGAATTTGGATGCGTAGGGGAATTTGAAAGAAAGAAAGAAACTGATGGGCATGGTTATAGCAAACTAGAACGAGCTTTGCTGGGTAACAGCCGGAAAGTTTGCTCATCTTTTTAATGTTTTTGACGACAACACTTGATAATGGGGTAGCTGTCCATCACATGGAGGCTTTGTGTTTGAGGTAATGCTAGTAAAAGGTGGCTGTCCATCACATGCTGCTCCTACCGTTAATGCTAGTAAAAGGTGGCTATCCATCACATGCTGCTCCTACCTCGACAATCACCGCCGGCTTACCTTAACGATTTTTACGGTCAGTTTTTTTGGTGTTTTCTCTTTCTTGCAGATTTCGAGATTTTGCCTTCCATCTCTCGTTGTCTCCTTCTGTTTCTCTCTTTTGCTCTTTAAGATATATAACACGCGGAGAGGGTGTGTGTGTGAATCAGGTCACAAAGCAATGAAGGATTCTTTGTTTCTTTGTGCAATGTGTCTGCAGATCCTATCTCCAATGTAGCTGCACCTTTCCATTCATTGCCCAGATGGCGAAATGCCCCCCTTCTCTGTTCAATTTGATCTCTTCTCCTATCCTTCAAGTTGCTGCCTTTTATTAACAACAAGGGCAAGGACTCACTCTATTCAATCACCGCCTCCTGTTTCCAATAATGGGCATCGCTTTTTTGCTTAATATTATCACTTCAAGGCCTGCCCACTCTGGAACTAGCCTCTATTTGTGTCAATTTGACACCTTTTATTGTGTTTCTCTTCATTAGCTCTGCAAGGCAAATATTTGTCTGTGTTGGCAGGATTAGAATCCTTAAGGATGATGCTGCAGTTGCCAATTCGACTCCAGTTAGAATGTCTAGTATCGATGGAGATATTCGTGATGTTTATAATTGGTACGGGTTTTAAGTAGTGTCTGTTTGGTTGTTTCTATGTTTTGCTTTTGTAATTTTTGGTGTTGGGGTTTGATGGCGTTGCTTTGATTAAAGAGGCTGTTAATGGGAAAGATGTGGATTGGACTGTAATCTGTATACCTGCTGCACAAGGTTTAGCTTGGTTTGTCTTGAGCTTTTCAGTTCTTCATTGGGCCGTCTGAGAAATTCCCAGGTTTAGCGAATTTCACTGCAACCCCCAACTCTTGCTTTTCTTTGTTTTGTTGCAATTAGAGGTGTTACTGGCATGCAAGTTCGTAGGAACTCTGAACTTCAAGAGCCATTGCTTCTTGGAGAGGAGGCAGGGTGTCTTAAGGTCACTCCTTATTTTGATGCTGGGCTATTCAGCTTAGCAAACCTTTCTTGGTTAAATCCGCTTCTTTCAATTGGTTCAAAGAGACCACTTGGGCTGAAGGATATCCCTCTTCTTGAACCGAGAGATCGTGCCAAGACAAACTATAAGATTTTGAATTCAAATTTGGAAGGAAGAAAAGCTGAAAATCCTTCCAGGCAGCCTTCTTTAGCTTGGGCAATTCTGAAATCATTCTGGAAGGAGGCAGCTTGCAATGCCATCTTTGCCTTGTTGAACACTCTCGTTTCATATGTGAGTCTGTACATGGTTAGCTATTTTGTTGATTATCTTGGGGGTAAGGAGACTTCCCCTCATGAGGGCTATATTCTCGCTGGGATGTTCTTCTCCCAAGCTTGTGGAGACATTAACGACCCGCCAATGGTATCTCGGGGTTGATA